ACCCTGGTTGTGGATTGGCGACTCATCAATGAAGCGAATCGACTAGTTGTATGTCTTTTGACTAAAGTTCATATTACGAGTTATGCGAAAAAGTTCAAATTCATTCCCATACCCTAAACAGGTTTTTGTTAAAACGTGACTGGTACAACTACTGTTTACTCAGGTACTTGTATTTTGCGTACTTTGTTGATAAAATCACTGACCGCCGTATGAAGAGTATTGATGTTAAGCTGCCGATAGTACATTACAATAAATTAAGAAGCAGTATCGTAAGTACTGCTTCTGTACCCTACAAGCCAAATCGAATCCAGGAATATGGTATCTGATCATTTTTAAACCTTTGATACCGGATTGAAGCGGCGTAAGCGCCGTCCCCTTGCTTTTAGTCACCTTAAGGACCATTTCAGCAGGCCACAACTCCATGGTATTTGGGGACCTGCATTGAATGAATGCAGAACCGCATCACTAGGCAGGGCCGAGCTAAGGCTTGTTCGGACAGCTGCTAATCTGCCATGATCCATAGGATATTTATGCACAAGAATGGTGTTTTTGACTACAGTATTTTGCTCTCACTATATGTTAATTCCCTTAAGCAAGTCATCTGACTCTGCCACAAGGAAATCATTCCAGAAAAATGATGGCAAGTTCCTGACCTGCAACGACTCGATAACTTTTGTGCAAAAGGATGATTTGATGCCACGTACAAAGACGTGCTGTCTCTTCCTTGAAAGTAGACACCATTTTTTATCAAAATCTGAAACTAAGATTAGTGGGCATCACGGATCCTAAACAACCAATGGATTTGTGACAGAAAAATGATGGCATAATCAACCATGGCGCCATCCATAGCTTTCTAGGTAGGTACTTAATGGACGTAAGACTTTTTACGTGTAAACGTTATACTTGCAATGCCCCTTAACAGCCTCGATAGCTGACCTTAACATCGACAAAACGTAATTTACTTCAGCTCAAATGCATTTGCATAAGTGCCTCTGAAAATTCATGGCAAACTTCCAGCCACCACCATTAATGAAATGATAAGCTATCACTGCCATTGGTACGTAAAGAAACAGTTAAAGGACGGTGTCACTTCCGTTTCGAAATCGTTCCTCATAGGATTGATCCAGGGTTTGCATTTATACGCGGATGACTGCTGGACTGGGTTATATCTCAACATTTCACAGATCCCTTGAGTCTAGTCGTCTAAGGGGTCCGTTTCAGCAGACAAAGGATCCAAGACCCAACGATTTAGTCGTCTGCGGAGCATAGGGCTCAAGACTACGTCAATGGGTTAGAATACGTCAATCAGCGTATCGGTGTAGAAAATGTCGAGACGAGAATGTTGCTGCTTGTAGACACGCTTGTTTGGTTGACATCTTCTGAAACTGATCTCCACCACTTTCTGGAAATGCCCCCCTCCCACGAGTGCAAGGTGGTCTACATGCATGTAAACGTTACCGGAACAAACCTTTTAGTGCTCTCTCATTCTCCTGCCCTTCGCGCGTTGAAGAGAAGCAGGAATTGCTGAAGTTCAAGTTCTTTGGGGTCGTATTTACTGGTGATGGAAAATGAGCGGAGGAGATTGATCGAAGAGCTTTGAGCTACAGTCAGTACTACCCCAGATTGATTCACAGCTGATGGACGGAGCACGTCTTCGGAAAGCTGCTAAATTTGAAAGCGATACCTCCATCACTTGCCATACCTACAGGTGGAAGGCCGCTACTCGGCCAACAATGACCTGGAGCATTTGTCACAACGAACTCTGCTCTGGATTCTGGCTACCTTTCGCTGCAAGTCCAATCCTGGCGCGGATTGGGAACGCTGGAGATTCTGGATGACGAATCTCCACGACCCCGAAAGGATAAGCGTTCATCGAATCTGACTGACTGACAAAACACACCGCGATGAACGCCCCATCTTATATTGTTCCTGGCTTGAAGAGAGGATCATCGGCGAATGCATTCGATTGAATTGCATGATTTCGCCGCCATGATCCTGCTTTGCTGTCTTTCCTGACTTTTCAATGTGTGAACATGGACACTCAGTGGTTCCTTGGTTCAAAATCGACATATTGCAGCTGTGTCGATTCCTGGACCAAAACCTGTCTGCTTTTACAGTACCAGTACCATATATTTCCCTCGTTTCTTTGTTCGAACTCTTAGTGACCCATTGTATGGCATGACGGCTGGCTGAAAATGAGGCATGACATAACAGATTTACATTCTGTAGCCAATCTGAACACAATCGCGAAAT